TTTTGTTGGGAAGGCAGATCCTCAGAAGCAGGAGGCAAGGACAACACCAGCCTTTCACCAAGGAAACCTGGCTTTCTACAGGCCACAGCCTTGGTGACAGAATTCAAAGGAAGTTCACCTAGATCTCATGAATCAGCGAGCTCATGTCTATGAGAGTCATAATGCAGTTTGCATTCTGTTTTTTCAGAAGTACCAGACAGAACACAAAAGCAAGGCTCAGAAGCATCCACAGAACAAAGTGAGACTATTGTTAGCAGGCACACTTTTTTTCATATCTTATCCACTCAGTGTGTCCAGAACTCAGCCCTTATTATCTGGTTGATCAGAAACCGCCAGCCAGGTGAGTGCTTCCCTTGGGACTTACATCACTTGCAATGTCTCTTGAAGCCTTGGCAGCTTGTATGGGAATGGCATCAGTTCTGAGATCATAGCCTTTCTTTTTAGACTCTTCCAGAGAAAGTTTGTAGAGTTTCTGTAAAGAGAGGCAAAGGGAATAGTATTTGTTTGTTTNGTTCTCAGGACAATAAGAGGGTGTGGGAGAAGGTGCATGGGTGGGGAGATGAGAACAGAGATGGAAGAGGAGACAGAACATACAGCTAGGGGTGGCCAAGGAAAGAGTGCTCTGGAATGTGCTTCTCCCACTGCCCTCAGTCATTCCATGCTCCCTGTGAGGGGGTTTCTTGTGGAAACAACCAAATGAAAGAACTGAGTTTCATGTAGGTGTTGTGTTATGACAGCGGTGTGCTGGTACACCAGCTCTCGGCGGGGTTGCGGGGAGGAAGAGCCCTCATTTGTAGTCTTCGCCAGTATCTGTGATGCNATTTATTTATTTATTTATTTTTATTTTTATTTTTTTCCTTTTTTGTCTTTTTTCGTGTCCGGCAACGGACCGCAACCCTCAGTGTCGCGCCCGCACCGGACCGGGACCGGCAACAGGACCGCAACCCTTGGTGCCGCTCCCGCCCCTTGCTTAGCCAGTGAGTGGGAACCGGTCTGTATGTGGGATCCGAACCCTCGGCAGGAGCGCCGCCACGCTCCCAAGCGGAGCACTGTAGCAGTGCGCCACCGGGCCGGCCCTGCATCATTTTTATTTTTGAGCAGAATGCTTCATTGGTGGTTCAGTGGCTGAATGTTCTCACAAGTAACATAATTGTGTTTGAAAAAAAAAATCTATTATAAACTGAAACATTTCTAAGAAGCCACCAGAACAACTAAAAGTTACTGGTTTCTATTAGGTTGCAAATATTCTTTAAAGATGCGAAAATCCGGTAGGCTCTTACTGACGCATTTTATCAAACACGAGTTAAAGGAAAACTACAAAACTGCCATACAAGAAGCCACCAGAACAACTAAAAGTTACTGGTTTCTATTAGGTTGCAAATATTCTTTAAAGATGCGAAAATTCAGTAGGCTCTTACTGACGCATTTTATCAAACACGAGTTAAAGGAAAACTACAAAACTGCCATACTCTTACATCCAAAGAAAAGTTAGCACTGTTTTACAATTGACTTTTATTTATATAATTATGTGGATTCTACAATTCAAAAAAGGTCAGCAATTCCAAATCTCTGTGGAATTCACACAAAGAAAAGAAAAAACTGGTAGAGTTAGAGATTTCCCAGCAAATATGGTTAGGATAAGGACAAAAATAAAATAAAACATCAATGCATTTTCTAACAAGTGTTGCACATTCCCTGTTATGAGGCTTGCTCCAAATTCTTAAAAATACTCATCTCCCTTTCCATCTAATCCCTTCTTGAGGAGCATCTCAAAAGCTGGTGGAGAGGCTCTCTAAGAATGTGGTCCTGGGACTCTCGCTTCCTTTTTCTCTTCTCCTGGCCCCCAAGCCCTTCTCTTCCTGCCAAAATTCTTAGTTTGATAAGAGGTGCCTGTCCTAGAACAAAATCCAATCATCCTTCAAATTCCTAACTACTTGGCCCATCTCCCATCAATAAGCCTACTCCAACTCTTAGCAAAGTAAGATTAGAAAGAGAAAGATTCTCATTTGCAGATTTCCACTATTATTTTTAAAATATTCCCTCTCATAGATGAGAGAGACGTTAAAATTTTACTGGTTCAAATAGGCTAGAAAAAAGATGACAACAGGGAGAATTATACTTACGTCACTCATATTAATCGCATTTGCCTTTGCCAAAATAATCTCAGGGATGTCAGGCATGATGTGGACTTTGGTCTTGTCAGCCTCCCATGCTTGTTTGTAGAGGTGCTGGGGGAAAAAAGTGTAACTTAGTGTTTAAAATCTTAAAAGGAGTTCACATAGTACATATGTATCTTTGTGTGTGTACAAATATATATCAATATTTTATGTGTTCTTATTAGGTAGGCTTTAAAAATTTTTTTTTAATGGGAAAGGTGCTCATTTAAGTAATACAGTGGAGAGAACATAAGATGGGAAGTAAAAGTGCCCTAACCCCCTATCTTACAGCTGGAGATAGCATCTCTTTCCTAAAACTTTCTATGCATACTAAAACTCATGTACATTTCTTTTTAAAAATATAAATGAGGTCATGTAATACACCATGTTTGACATCTTGTTTTTTTACTTAATAATATAAGTTAACCATCTTGAAATCTTTTCAAAATAATTTATTTCATTTAAGGAGCTGCATAGTATTGCATGAGGAAGTGATTCAAGCGATTTAACAATTCTCTATTGATGGATATTTAATTTGTAGTTTCTAGTCTTTTTCTATTACAAGCAATATTGCCATGATATTTGTGGTTGTCATGGAGATGTGCCACCCAGATACTCATTCAAGGAAGGACCTGTTGCCCCAACTTTCGGTGGAGAGCCTCCAGTGGTCAGCTGTCTCACCCAACAGCAAGCCCTTCCCAGATGGTCACATCTAATGACTCATCAAAGTGGGGGTACAAAGGCCTGTGCATTTCAGCCCAGTGCAGGACACTTGTGACAGGTGACACAGGAGAGCCCTCCATAGGACTGGGTTTTTGTTTTTTTTTTTTAAGGAATTTTGGCCTACCCCAAGGTCACAAAGATTTTCTTCAAAGTCTTCCTCTAGAATTTTTTTATCTTTAGCTTTTATGTTTTTGTCTATGATCCATTTTAAGCAAATGTTTGTGTATGGTGAGAAGAAAAGATTGAAGTTCAGTTTTTCCCACAGTGTTTTTAATTTTAATTAATTAATTTACATTGGTTATGAATATTCATGAGGGACAAAGCAAATTGTCACCACTCATGCCTAAGATGTGATGGCCAGATCCATACCGGTAGCATGCCCATTACCACAAATTGTGATTATACCCAGTGTCCCCACCCAATTATCCCCCCAATTATCCCCATCCCCCTTTCCCCACTCCACTTTGTATCCCTAGGTATGTTCTCTCCCTTGGTAGCATGCACATTACCACAAATTGTGATAATACCCAGTGTCCCCACCCAATTATCCCCATCCCCCTTTCCCCACTCCACTTTGTATCCCTAGGTATGTTCTCTCCCTCTGCAAGTCCACCACACCATTGTGGTCAAGGAAAATGCGGTATATATACACCATGGAGTACTACTCTGCCATAAAAAAAAAATGAAATTCTCCCATTTGCAGCAACATAGGGCTGTTTGAGGCTTTGTCAGGCCTGCATCACAATTCAACTTCTCCTTCTGTCCAGTCCTCCCTCCATGGATACTTAAAAAATACCCTATTCCTCAAGTTCCATTTCAGCTCCTTTCAGACACCCTAACCTGCAAAAACTATTATTGTATATCTGTATGTATGTATACCTTTGTGTACATATATAAGGATTCCTTTAGAATAATAAACACCTAGATTTTAAATTTTAACAAATATTAACAATGGCTGGTTAGAAGTTTGCATTAACATAATACTCCCTTGCTGATACCATGTATAATGCAACTTTTCAATCTTCGCAAATCCCATAGGTGAAAGTATTTTTTTGTTTGTTTTAGTTGGTCTTAATTAAAACAAAATTAACTTTCTTCTAGACCAGGAGTTTTCCCTAAAGGACCAGATATTAAATATTTTAGGTTTTGTGGGCCACACAGTCTCTGTCATTAACTACTCAATTCTGCTGTTGTAGTACAAAAGCAGCCACAGACAATATGCAAATAAATGGCTGTGGCTATGTTACAATAAAACTTTATTTACAAAGACAGTAGTTGTCTGACCCATGTTTTAGACCAGCACTATCCAATAGAAATTTCTGCAATGGGCAGAAATTTTGCTTATGGGCAATGATGGAAATGTTCTGCACAATCCAATATGGCACCCCCTAGCCACATAGGGCTATTGGGTACTTGAAATGTGGCTAATGTGAATGAGGAACTAAATTATTAATATTATTTAATTTAATTAATTTAAATACAAATCATCATGTAGCTAGTAGCTATATTATTGGACAGCACGATTCTAGTGGGAAGAGCAATAGCTAGTCCTCAGAATCTCTGTTCTGCCAGACCTAGACATTGACCCAGACCCAGTCATGTGTCCTTAGGGAAGGTACTTTGCCTCTCTGAACCACACTTCCCTTAACTCTGCAGTGAGGGGATTTAGCTTGATGATCACCAAGATACCTCTCAGTATCAACATTTGCAATTTCTATGATTCTCATCTTTACATCATTATCCTGAATGTTAATCACTAACATTGAAAAAAAAGAAAGTATCTAACTAATTTAATATTTTAAAAATAAATATATCTTCATGATAGTTTTGATTCTAAATCTTAAAAGGGGCACTGAGATTTGTGCCTTGTCTTTTAGGCAAGTCCTTTTCAAGGAGGTTGGTCTTCAGCACAAATCAGTCCGTTTTCTGAAGACTCCAGGAGATTTACTCTGAGGCTTGGCGTAACACAGCTCCATCTTCCTAGTTATTACTTTCTGTAACTGCTTAATGTTAAAGTCTACATAATTTTTTTCCTTTTTTATTAATCAAAGGCATTTTTTAAATTGTGATCCACACAATATAACCAGTGCAGCTGCACTTATTTTATTTCTAACTTTAAAAATACATATCCAAGGTTGACGTTCTTATTGGTCTTGATATCAGCTTATGGTAAATAAATGTGAAAATACAGTAAGGCTTTTCTAAAGATTGGAATAATTAATGATGCCAGGAAATACTGGTGAAGAACAATTGCTCTCATGATTGCTCAGAGAAGGTCCTGGTTCGGAATGCTGCTACAGCCATATAATCTAGGAGTTTTCCTTGATCCCATCAAAGCAGCTAGGAAGTAGCCAGGGTAGGCTACAACAGCCAGCTGTTATCAGGCAATCTGCTGATTCAGTATCGTGAACTTCTATTCAACCTCGCCTTCGGTAAATGGAACTCATTTTGAAAATGTGTATTTGAAAAAAGGGACTCTATTTTATGTCAATGAGATAGGATGGTTCGTTAAACATTTTGGGGGCCACTAATTAAGAATAATTTTAATACATATATTTTTTTAACTACAAGACCCTTTTTCAAGGTAGAGCTCAAGTATGATGCCCTAAAACTATGTTAGCAAAAGCTGTAGAATAAATATAAGATATACCTGAATTTTCTCTGATGCATATGAAACACTACATTATTAAATCACTTACTTCATTCAGAATTTTGGCATTATTCTGGGCCAAAACCATGTTCATTGAGTCCATCAGTGTGGAATACTTCAAAGTGTCTGGGTGCTGGCGGTACTTCTTTTCGCTAATAATCTCCATGGCTTTCTTGTTTTTCTCAGCTTCCAGGGAGCCCAGAGGGAGCCACCCAATGCCCTTCATGAAGTCAGCATAGTCAGCTTTGTACTGATTCTGCAAAAGAAGAAAAACTCAACAACGAGAAGAAATCAAAACTTCCCAAGAACCATGAATATGCATTTAATATTCCATAACTCCCACCTCAGTGTTCAACCAATATAGTACACTGAAATTCAGCCATTTTTATCCCTAAACTTTTATCTTTTTTACATTTCCTTTCATGAGATTAAAAACAAACGGGAATATTTTTGTGATTTGTTTTTCGCAATGCTTTTATAAAGAAAAAGTACAAAGAAATGCCAAATAGATTAACCTGCCTTGTGACTATTATCTGCCATGTGAGAAAGGTGACTATGCTGACTTTTCTTAAAGAAATCCCCAAGTTATCTTGGTTAATAGATGACAGACATATGGAAACCCCACTTCTCTCCTCCACTATAAGTCTTTGATTACCCACCACTGTTAAAATTCCTTCAGGCATGCCAGAACCTACTTTGTGCAAATGTCATTTTCTTTCCTTCCTCTGACATTTCTCTCTAGGAATGTACCATAGTTGCTTTCATCTGGGCACTTATGTACCCCCTTGGCAATTAATAGCTCAGCTTTTACATTCCTCAAGAGGCTTGGTGAGGTCTGCTTTTAGTTTGTAAATTAAATTCACTTCCTCTGGCCAGCAAATGGCCTCTTCTAAATTCTTGACTCTATACCCTCTCTGTATTCCCTATAATCATTCCAAAAACTACCTCAGCCATCACATCGTCCGTGTTTCATAAGTAAGACAGGCAATTGCAAAATTAGACATAGTGAAATAAAAGCTGGCTGGGACAGAGGGGCTGGAGCTATCAAGTTATCTGGTTTTTTGCTTTTCCTCTTATTCCTCTACCAGGAACCACGTTTGACCCTCTTTTGGAGGCCTATTTCCTTCAATATATTCCTTACGAAACCAAATTGCATTTGCTGTTGCTGAATTCAGAATCCAGTAATCCTCACAGCAACAATAGTAGAAAATAAGACTTTAGTTTCTAGCCTTGATACCCTTCTGTTAAAAGAAAGAAATTCAAGCTAAGGTAACAAACAAAACACCCCATTAGAAAACTGCACACGACTTTCAGGATTTTCAAAATGTCATTCATTACTTATGGTCATTCATGATTTGCTTATTATCCAGAGTAAATTCTCTGCAAATGTTGTGGCTTTCACATACATCACTTTGAATGTGCATCATATTTTTGGCCAATTCAAAGCTCATGGCATCAGGAAGCATGTTGTAGGAGTGGATCACATTCCTGTAATTGGTGTTGGTGGCCACTTCCTGAGACTTCTTGGCTGCCACCACACTCAACATGTCCACTGGGGTGTGGAAGTATGTCTTGGAGTTCTCATATGCCTTCTTGTATTCCCGGTCTGACTGCATCTTGGCCACCTGCATGAAGTGCACCAACTTGGGGTCATCCTCCAGGCTGCGGAAGCCAATGTGTTTCCCTTTGGCTCGTTCATAGCCTTGCTTGTATTTGTACTGTGGATAGAAGAGAAGGCATGGTGATGAAATGGTGAAGGAAAGAGGACAAAACAGCATTCACTAGGTGCCATTAGCTTTGTGGCAGGTGAAAGGTTTTAGAGCTATTCTAAAATTAGACAGGTAGGAGCTCATGAGAAGCAGGTAGCAAGGTCTTTGTACTTCAAATTCTTCTCAGACTTGAGTCCATGGAAAGCAAATGATCTCAGAATTAATCAGAGATGTGCAACTAAGTTGGTTTAGGGTGATTTAGAAATCAGCTTTTCCCACTCAGTGGTCTAAGCAACAGGAAAGGCTGAAGGCATGATTTCTCATGGTGTATCCTTACATTCAGGAAAGAGCCCGGCCATGGGTCTTCAGGGTAAAATATGTAGATTGCATCCTTCCATTTATTTAGAATTGCCTATAAATGATTTGAACACTCTAAAAGCAATTTATTTTAACAAGACCTGGTCACTTTTTACATTAAATAATGATGAGAGGGTACTTGGACTGGGCAATGAAAGGTGTGTGGTGTGATACACGGGATGGCGTTCCCACCCACACTGAATGGAGCTGCCCACAGCTGCCGAATACACACAAGCTAGGTGCATCCTCTCCTACTCGCTCAGCCTTCAGAAGGCCCAGCAGAAGCACTTACATCGCTGGCAATGTCTCTAGAAGCTTTTGCAGCCTTTATTGGGATGGCATCAGACCGCAGGTCATATCCTTTCTTCTTTTCTTCTTCCCAGCCAGCTTTATACAGTTTCTAAACAAGGAAATAGGAGAACAAGAGAATCTTGTGATTTGGTTTAGAATGGGGATCCTGATTTCAAAGTGTTTGGAGAGAAGAAGACAAACATTCCGTAAGTATTAATTCCCTTCGACCTTCCCCCCACTTTTGCTGTCATTAATCTACTTACATCACTCATGGTGATTTGGTTTACTCTGGAGAGTAAAATATCTGGAGTATCAGGCATGATGTGAATGGTGGTCTTGTCTTTGTTCCATTTTTCAGTGTAGAGCCTCTGCAAGAAGAAAGTCAGGTACATGATTTTACAGCAGGATGAGTCTGCAATAAGGCTAGCAGGAGGGAGAGAGACCCATCTCCACAGTAGAAGAGATCAAATCCGATATTGGAAAATGGATGAAATAGCAAGAAGATGTGAATGAGTCTGCAATAAGGCTAGCAGGAGGGAGAGAGACACATCTCCACAGTAGAAGAGATCAAATCCGATATTGGAAAATGGATGAAATAGCAAGAAGATGGCTGAGGAAGCTGGATACACAATGAGAAGAAAATATCATCAAATAAGGGAACCCCCTTCCATCGAAGCAGCAAATGCCATCTTGCCCTGACCTCATAATTACGTGGAGTTTTGTGGTTCTGTCGCATCCTTAACATGGTCTTGAGAGAAGACCTGAAGGTCAATACAAGAGAGAGCTCTCTAAATGTGATGAAAGCTAGAGAGTCCCCCGCCTTCCTCCCCCCAACCACTATCAGAAAGATAAAAACATTGAAGATTATAGGGCACTTCCAGGCTCATGAACGCTATGAGGGTTCTCTGGCTGAGGTTAGCAGGTGGGCTCTTACCTTATCCATATTCAGTTTGTTACTTTTGTTAAGTGCCTGTTCCATTGTGTCCATGGCGTATGTGAACTTCAGCTTCTCGGGGTGCTGGCGATACTTCTTCTCACTGAGAATCTCTCCTGCTTTCTTTGCCTTCTCCACCTCCAGGGATTCTATTGGGACCCAGCCGATCCCTTTCATCCAGTTGGTGAAGTCGGATTTGTATAGATTCTTTATAACAGAAAAGGAAATTTACATTTCAGAAAGAGTCACAGCATGGGTTTCTTTGGCGACATGATTTGCTCATTTTCAAAAACAAGTGCAGGTGGGGAGAATAACCCACTTTTTACTCTCTACGGTCTTTTGGAAGAAATTATCTTTCTTGAGGAAAAGAAATAAAAAGCTAACAGGATTTTGCACTGGAAGGCATGTTATATATCACCTGTTTGAGCCTCTTAATACATTGTATGTTGGGTCCAACATTCAAAGTTTTAAAAAATATATGTAATGAGAACAACAAAGCTACACACAGTTCAAATGAGTGAAATCCTAAAACTCCAAGTTCAGGCTTAGGATGGAGTGAGCGGTACCTGTTCTTTGCTCCCACCCACTAGAAATGGATAACTATGCTGACCACCTGCGATGGGCACATACATCACTCTGAATCTGCATGGCGTTCCTGGAGTGCTCCACGTTCAAGGCGTCGGGCAGGAGAGTGTAGTGGTGGTAGGGCTGTCTGTAGTTGGTGTTGGTAGCAGCCTCCTGCGATTTCTTTGCAGCTGTCACACTGAACATATCCAAAGGTGTGTGGTACCTGGTCTTGCTGGCTTCGTAGCCCTTTTTGTACTCACGATCGGACTGCATTTTGGCCACATTCATATAGTGCACCAGTTTAGGATCATCCTGAAGACTGAGAAATCCAATTTGCCTGCCTCGGGCTTTCTCATAACCCTCCTTATATTTGCACTATTTGAAAAAGAAGGGCAGACACGAGTTTGATAGGGTAGGAGCTTGATATAAACCAAATTTATATAACAAATTAACCAAAGGTCAAATTCCCTCTGATCTAGGTAACAGCTAAGGTTTTTTTCTTAGTAGTTTTAAATAAAAGCTAAGAAAATAGTTTTAATGGGTGGTCTTGAGACCTGCTCTGGGATCATTAAGAATGGAATCATTTGTAGTTTATATCTAGATTGTTCATAAGTAGATTCTTTGAATATGCTCGTGCCACAGGCCTCAACCACACCCCTCTTCCTTCCTCCTCCTCCCACCCTATTTCCTTCCCCCTCCCCCCAACTGCTCCACAACATCTTAGAATGTAAAAAAAATAACATAAATAAATAAATAAACAAGAAAAAAACCCAAAACATTGTATTTAAAAAAATACTTGGAGACTTTTTTCATTTAGTGATATTTTAGTATACCACGACACTTTTTCTTGACAAAGTCCAAATAAAAAGGGGTTTTTAAGTTTATAACAATGATAGTAATGAGAATCCCAAATATTTTATAGTTTAAAAAAATTTTTTTTTCTTCTTTGTAACAATGGTATTGAGTTAAATATTAAAAAATCATTGGGACATAGGATTTTAGGGAATATTTTTACATTATAATTTATTTGCTTACTCATATAGTTCATATAGTCTCATATATCATGTACAGATTTTTAAAATATACAGAGAGAGAGTTTACTACTTTCATATTGGACTTACATCACTAGCAATATTCCTTGAACTCTTTGCAGCAACAATGGGAATGGCGTCTGATCTCAAATCATAACCCTTAGCAAGGGTTTTCTTCCAGTCTGCTTTATAATGAGCCTTCAAAGAAGGAAAAATTATTTTATTATTTATTAAAAGAAAAATGAAACAGGAGGCCAAAAGGCCTCTGATAAAACATGTCATAATATACCCTTTTCTATTAAGAGAATTCACAGGGTTAGGGCTATTAGTTCATATTTTATGTACCTATCAGATTCTTTTAAAAAACATCAGTAAATTGTAACACAGTATAATCTCAACTGGTTAAAAAATATGTATGTTTGCATAACCAAGCAATGGAAAGATAATGCTTTGAATGTGGGCTAACACATTTTTGGTTTTTTAAATAATTTTCTATATTTTTCTTTTTTTATAATAAACATGTAATACTTCGGAAAAAAGTATTTTGTAATGAAGCATTTCAAACTTAGAGAGAGGTATGGATACTGAAATATAAAATTTGAATGTAGAACCACTCAACTTTAATTACTGTGACTGCTTAAATGTTACTTATGAAATTAGGGGAAAAAATTTTAATGAACCAAAGCATAGAAATGAGTATCAAAAAATGTATACTTGGAGACAAAACAGAGCTTAAAAACATTGGGAAGAATGACTAAGCCATCTTTTGAGAAACAAATAAGTAGTGAGAAATTGATTGAGGGTCACAAAGAATGATTACATTTTGTAAAGATGAGTAAACTAATTATCCTGATTTGATTATCAGGATTGATGTTCAACTCTGTATGCCACAAATATGTATAATTTAATATGCTTCATTTAAAAAAAAAGAAATAAACAATTTTATTCAGGTTTAATTATGTTTTTAAGTTAGAATTTACCAACATATTTTAAAAAGGAAACAATTCATACTGTGGATTTAAACTTCTAGGCCACCCAAGAGAGGAGCTAGTTACATATTTTTTTTTAAAAAAAAAGTTTCTTAAGAGAATTAAACTTTTGGGGAAGTTTTAATAAATAATTGAGAGAAAAGTTGCACAAAGCAATACTTATCCTCACTACAGAATATGCACTCCTATATTTTTTCCAGTCTTGTCTATCTCATTTTGTTCTGTTTTCTAAAAAGTGAGACAAAACTTACTAGACTGATTGTACAACCCACTAATAAGTCACAGCCCATAGTTTGGAAAAGTCTGCATTACACAAAATTTTATGGTGGCCTCAAGTCTCACATTGTATGATAAGGGTCCAGTCTTGGGACTCGAAAGTTCCACACTCAGTTTGGTCCCCTTAAAATTGTCAGTGCAGGAGGTACACAGAAGTGGAAAGGAGAGGCCCACAGGAACATGTTAGGCTGTCACCAGGCCAGATACTTACGTCACTCAGGTTGAAGGCGTTGACCTTGGCTTGAATAAACTGAGGCAGTTCGGGGTCTATAGTGTACTTGTGCTTCAGTTTCTCCCCCTCCACCCTGTAGTTCAACTGAAAACAAAGGAGGCAGCATGCAGAGGTTAGTAGTTGACGTGATGTGAGTATCATCAAGCCCTCGCTCCTTTCAAAAGTAAGGCTAGCATTTGCCTTTTCCATATGTAAGGCAAATGCCTACAGTCCACAAGGAGGGGGCTCTGGTGGACATATTCACGTCCTCATTCCGCCAGTAGTTATTGGACAGCACTGCGCACCAGGCAGAACGTTAGGATCTGTGTTTAAAGTGGTGAAAAACACGGACCTGTCCTCTTGGAGCTCGGAGTCCAGTAGAGGAGACAGACTATAGCTAGAATCTGTGAGGTGTTGTAAACAGAATACTGTAGCAGAGCAGCAAGGGTGGTCAGTAAAGGCTCTGAGGCAAGAAATGGCACGGCCACCCTGAGGTACTGAAAGCAGCTCAAGTCACTGGCTGGAATGTGCCCGGGGAAGGGGGGGCAAGAGGATAGGACAGAGCGGGGAGCAGGGCCACAGAGTGGAGGGTCTTTTCAGCCAAGTTAGTGAGTTTAGATTTTAAGTTCAAGGAGATGTTCCTAAGAGGTTTTCCCTATAAGAGAGATGGGATTTGATGTAAGGCGGTCTCTCTGGTGGTTGTTTGTGACCACAGGCAGGGAGTCTAGATAACAGGTGATGGCAGTTGTCCAAGAAGAGATATGGAAGCCAGAACGAGGGGTGGTGGCAGTTGAAAGACAGAAGCAGTCCAACACGCTGGCTGAGAGACATCTCGGAAGCTGACTCAGCGCATGTCCTGGATGTGGGGTCCACCCAGGGAAGTATAAATGGTGACTGTCATGTTTCTGGCTTGAGTAGCCAGGCAGATGTTGATGGTGTTTATGAGGATGGAAAAGACCTGATAGAGCGAGGGTTTTCCTAGATAACTGGAGAAATGCAATGAGAAGAGACACCTCGCTTAGTACAAAAGAAATCAAAAGAATCTACACCAGTTACTACCACTAAAATAGAATTAAACCTTAAACATCTGTGGTAATATGGGGGCAGGGAGTACCCTGAGAAATAAAACCCATAACAGAACTGTGGAATGACCAAACGCTCTGAGGCACTGAGCACGTAATTAGCCTCTGACTGGAAAAATGAGAGTCCACATAGACCTGGGCTCAGAAATGAGACCCCGGATGACTCTGCAAATAAACTGCTCACCTCCTCCCCAGAGACCTTATTCTATGACTGCCTCTCAAAACATGGAGCTATCACGCGAGGGCATTATGCCTTTCCCTGTGGAGCTAGGCTGAATCCTTGCAACTCAGAGTCACACTGATAAGAGTAATAATGTCATTCTGTACGTATAATGGATAGGGGTCTGCTTATGAATAGCACAAACTGTCTGCATTTGGAAAATAAAGCAAATTTGTAATATTCCCCCTTTCCCCCTCCTGTTTGCCCTATGTTCAAGTTCAAAGTTGCTTAAAAGTAAAACCTTTTCCTCTTACACCTCTGAAAGCAGTTTATTTGCTAACAAAGATGCACCCTCATGTATTGAATTAAGAAGGATGGTGGGGTGGTTTGGTCACTGAGGGTTATTCATGGACGGACCCTTTGGAAGGGAAACCACTTACATCACTTAGCTGCTTCGTGTTGTGCTGAGCCAAGACCATGCCCATGGAATCAGGTACGCTTGTGAACTTGATGGTATCTGGGTGCTGTCGATACTTCCTCTCATTTAATGCTTCGCCTGCTTTCTTGGCCTTCTCAGCATCCAAAGAACCAATAGGGATCCATCCAATGCCCTTGAGGAAGCTGTTATACTCGTCTTTATATACATTCTGTGAAAGAGTAATCTCATATGAGGAGGTTTCCCAGAAAATACTCAAGGATGTTTCTGGGATCTGCAATTCTATGCAACTCTTTTTAGCACGTTCATTTCTATGTCTGTCACAGAGCTTATTACCTGGAATTTGGTAATAAGAAAACACAGCTCTGTTGTTAGACTGCATTATACAATACAGAAGAGAATCTAGGTCACATACTTTCATGGGTACGGCTAAAAAAATTTTTTTTGTCTCTTTTGACAATAAATTGGGCTTTCCTTTTGATTTCATCGAAGACTCCAAAACTTTGAATTTCACCCACACTCTCCACCTAGGCTATTCCTGATCTCAGCTAGGGAGAGATATTTTCATAGAGCAACAGTAAATGAATACCATTTCTTCTCCTTGCAGAGGACAATTCTTACAGAAATCTGGCTCCTGCAGAAGGAAATGCCCTGAATGTTAAACACCTTCCCTTGCAACTAGCTCTCCATGAATCATGCTGCAAACACAAAGCCTTCCTGGTTCATTTTAGATGACTCATTACATAGATTTACATGGATGACAGTATGACCTTGAGTTAAAAAAAGAAGAAAAAAACTTTGCTAAATTCAAAAAGAATAGAGAATCCTTCTATTTGGCATTATACATCCATCACCACTGAAGCAGCCCCATCAGGAGCACCTGTTTCCTCTTGCTGAGAATCAAAGTGGCCTGCCCAGGTAGTGGAATATGGTTTTGTCTTTCATCCATAGTGAATAAAGATGTCAATGATTTTAATATAAGCACAGAAAGCCAGCAAAAACTTAGCATGTCTACCACACCTTCAGTAGTCCTTCAATAATGCTTGTTTATTCTAAAATGCATTTTTCAAGTATCTTCCTGTGGCCTAAAGTCTAAAAAATAGAGAGAAATGATCATCCTTTAAGTATAGACATCTCTGGGTCTGTTATGTTATGCATACTTACATCACTTTGAATTTGATTCACATTCCTTGTATGCTCGAGACTCATAGCATCAGGCAAGTATGTGTAATGATGTAAAGGCTGTTTGTAGTTGACATTGGTGGCAACGTCCTGAGCCATCTTTGCAGCTGTAATGCTAACCATATCCCCTGGGGTATGGTAGCTAGTTTTGGTGTTCTCGTAGTTCTTCTTGTATTCACGATCTGACTGCAGCTTTGCCACGTTCATATAGTGGACCAGCTTGGGATCATCCTGGAGGCTTCGGAAACCCACATGCTTTCCCTTTGACTTCTCATAAGCTTCCTTGTATTTATACTGTGGAGACAGAATTTGGTTAATAAAGTCCTAGGCACTAATAATAGTAGATGCAGCAATTATATTTACATGTAAAGGTGCTCAGAATATTGTGACTTTCTGGAAGGGTGTATAAGAAATTCAAACCACACACCCCTTCCAGAAAGCTCAGAGTGAAAACATTTATTTCAAACACTGCTGGGGTTTCAGAGAGTGTCATGATAAATTCAAGACCAGTTTCTTTTCTTTGCTATGACTCTACAGATAATTTGCATGTGAACTTTATTTAAAACCAACTGAATTTTCACACTTAATATAAACATGACACATTCCAAATATAAGATCAATATCTCCTAGTTTCACAAAGATGTGAATTTTCCTAATCCAATGTTATTTCACATCATGGATGTGAGTAATAGCTATGCAGGTAGCTGCGTTTTCACCAATCCCATTTCTCAGCAGCTACTCTCCAAGTTTACTGTTGAAGCAGCTGCAAATGAATTAAAGAGCTACAGTAAGAGCAGGAACTGCTAGGGGTATTCCCCATCAATAAAAACTTAATCAAAAAAGTCCTGCTATCCAAAGTCTATCACTGCTGGGATCAACAATTGGGATATAGATTGAGCTACCTTGTAATAGGTCAAAACCTCAGTTTTCATATAAGAGAATTCAAATCCACCTAAACACTGCAGGCACTTGTCTCCCGCAGTTTAAGCATTCATAAATAAAGGCTAGCAGGTGAAAGGATTATCAAGTAATTTTTAAGCACGTTAGAAAAAGTACTGTGCAAATGCTAAAAAAAAAAAAAAGGATAAAATTATACTTTAGACTTTCACTTTTACTTAAACTAAAAATGCATTTCATGGTGATGCGATTATCAAGTAATTTTTAAGCACGTTAGAAAAAGTACTGTGCAAATGCTAAAAAAAAAAAAGGATAAAATTATACTTTAGACTTTCACTTTTACTTAAACTAAAAATGCATTTCATGGTGATGCGCACTGTGTACAAACCTTTGAGGAAGACATTTTCAGTACCATCCTACAAAGAAATCTGCACACCTGATTGGTATCTTTCTTCTCCTTTCTCAAACCAAGATTGTATCCCCTGGGATAGTGTGTGACACTGAATTCTGCAGGGTATGTGTGCTTTTTAAAAATTTTATTTTTCAAAGATGGGAAGAAGTGTAAGCATACACTTTTTCTATTACATGTGAAATGGGCATTGATTTACACAGATCTAAATTACATCCTAAAAAAGTGGGCTTTTTTCCATTTGGTTTATAAAATCCGTATGTTTTATATAACATCTTTTCAATCTTCTTAATACATTTGTAATGCAGACAGTCACTTGAATTTAACATGTTAGCATCAGTCAGGGTTTTCCTACTGAAACAAATGTGGCTGTCAGAGAAATGTGTCAGTGAAGGTAATTTGGGCAATGAATCAGGGGAGAATGCTGCTGTCAGGTTATGACAGCTCCAAGTGGGGTCAACTGAAAAGAATCACAAAAATGTTGAAAAAGTGACAGGTTTTCAAAACAATATTTTGGGGAGAATTTGAATGTCATTAATGCAACATATTGTTTTTAATAAGGTATCAATTTAACCAAGCACATATCCGATTACTTTCTTAAAAAGCAAATCACTCAAATTTCACCTAAAATTTGTACTTACGTCGCTGGCAATGTTTCTCGATGACTTGGCCGCAGTGATGGGAATAGCGTCGGCCAGCACATTGTTGCCCTTGGCTATTAAATCATGCCAATCCCGTTTATAACAGACCTGGATGCAAAAGCAAAAAGGATGTCAGCACAGTGTGTGTTAATCAGCTAAAGTGATTCCTCAGTGCCAGGATCATTTTATTCTTTTCCAGATATAAGTCAAAAGAATCCCCCATAGCACATACTGTTTTAGGAAGTCACATTAGCAAAGTGTCACACTTTGTGTGTAGAGTGAAACTATTGGATTCTTCACTAATTATTCACCCATCTCTGGTTTTGGCATATATTGAAGAGGGTTATTGAAAAACTGGAGTGGATCCAGAGGACAATAATAAAGGTTCTGGAAACCATGGTATGTGAGGACCAAGTATAGAAAACGAAGTTATTCAGTCTTATGAAAAGAAGGCCAAGAGAAGCCCTGATGGTCCGCTTTAGAAATTTTAGGGGTTTTGTAAAAAAAAAAAAAAAAGATTTCATTTATTTTTGTGGAGGATAATAACCTCTCCCATGTGCAAAACTAGGAAAACTAAGTAGAAGTTTTAGGGGAATAGATTGTGGGCCCTACATAAAGAAGAATGTTGTAAGCTTTAGAGTTGTCCTACATTTGAAAGGGCCAACTCAGGAGGTGAAGAGCATCATCACGGGATATGCTCTAGTGGGGCTATGTGGGAAATTGACCTAAATAATTGTCAAGGCACCATCCTACCCCCAAAATTATGTTATTTATTGTCAGGTCTGAATTTCACACCCCTTCAAAGACCCTACTTACATCACTTATATTGTAAGCATTGCACTTGGCCTGGAGAAACTGAGGAAGGTCAGGACTCATAGTGTATTTATGTTTCACATCTTCTCCTTTCGCTTTGTATAAGATCTTCAAAACACAGTCACAAAAATAAAATGCATCACTTATAGTGCAAAAAGAAAAATCCATTAATTGCATGCTTAAAGGAGTTATTCCTAGCACTCCCCCTCCCCGCACTATTTTTATTATTAAAAAAATCATCAGAGGTGTTTTACTATTTTTTTTTTAAAAAAACTAAGCATCATGTTATCTTTAGGAAGACCCAACAACTCTGTCTATTAACACATACGGAGAAAAAAATCCTTAAGGACACAAAAATCTTTGACTGCCAGAGAGGAATGGAAAGTAAATTCAAACGTGAAACACTAACATGAATAACAGGATTCACCAAAGCCAGGTAAGTTTACTCTGCCAGTGCACTTAATAGCTCTTAAAGTTTGCTTAATTTGGGGAGGGGTTGGTTTTTGGTTTTTTATCCTTAGAGAGAAAATAGTAGCTAGAATGAATCTTCCATTTCTGCTAAAAATCTTTCCAATTACAATTGTATCAGTAAAAGCACATAATAATTTCCTCATAATATGAATATGCTTACACACAAACCCAGTATACTCAAAAGGCTTATGACTTCATATTGTTATTTTAAAGTTATTACATATAATTTTCACTGAAAGACGTCAAAGTATATGATGCATACATCTTATTGTATCCTCCTCTGGGTAATAAAAAAGAAATAAATTGTGTAATTCCTAAAACTAAAATAGAACCAGAATCACAAGTAGATTTCTAATCTCTTTATTGTCGTTGATCATATATACCCTCGTTTCCCAGACATGTCTATGTAGAATATCATTTGTACACTGGTGTGTATGTACCTCAAGCAAACTCTGAAGCGGCTGATGTCTAAATTAATCCCCAAATACTAAACAATTTTTTTCTAGAAACCCAAGAGTTATCTTCAATTTCTCACTGCCTTTAGGAACAGTATCATAGCAGTCACAGGATCTCATGAGTTCTACCTTACGAACATCTTCTTTCCCATTGCTACTGCCTTAGTTTAAGTCTAACTAAGCCTCTCCTTGGGTTTCCGTAACAGACTTCTACTTCAGCTTTTTGCCCACAGTTTCTCCCCTCTCCAAAGTCTCAGCACTTTTTACCAGTTATCTTTTAAAACAGACCGAGTACTGCAACTTACTGCCTTAGTTTAAGTCTAACTAAGCCTCTCCTTGGGTTTCCGTAACAGACTTCTACTTCATCTTTTTGCCCACAGTTTCTCCCCTCTCCAAAGTCTCAGCACTTTTTACCAGTTATCTTTTAAAACAGACCGAGTACTGCAACTTTATGGATTAAAAATTTTCAACATCTCTTGTTACCTACCCCATAATGCCCAGACTCTACAAACTAGCATACGAGATCCTCAATGAAGGGTTACAACCCTGAGCCCTTCACTGTCCTTTCATGCATCCCTTCTTGACCATTTTTATATTGTTCCTTTTGCCAGGAATGCACCCTTCCCTAATTTACCAGGGCAACTCTGGTAGGCAGTTACCCACGTCCCTTGTACTTGACATTCCTGTCCTGCAGTGCTCATCTCTCTGTATGACCATGCTCTGTTTATATCCATGTCTTGTGCTCTTGTTCTATATTCTTATTAATTCCTACATCCCACCAACCCCCATCTATTTCATCTTTATCCATCAGCACATAATACAGTGCCTAGCACATGGCAAGTGTTCAAAAACATTCATTAAATGAATTAACAAGCAAATACTTTTGATGTCTCCTTAACTGTTCTTCTATTCACCAAACTTTCCTTTAGAAATTTTGACTTTAGCCAGAGCATCTACCCTGCTCATGGACAGGTAGGCAAACAATACTAGTCTTCACCAAGACATAAGTTAGAAAGTCTCTATAATAATTGTGTAGGCTGAATTCTGAGAAGCAAAAACTTATATTCACATGCATTATTTTCCTGTATTGTTTTACATATGAGGAGCAACTATGAGCAATTTAACATAGAATTGGATACAATGAATTTGCCGCAATAAAGCGTCTGAGAATGAAGTTTAAATTCTGGGGGGTGGGGGGGTAGTTGGGTGGGTGCGTGGGTGTGGGTGTGGTATTAGAATAGAATTTTTTGCACCTCGTCAAATTTATCCAATAGCACAGTATTTCAACGGCAGTTCAAAAGGAAAAATTTTTTAAAGTTGGCAAAAAGCAAGATAGAAGAAAAAGAAAGTGTTAGTGCCCAAACTAAAGATAGTTATAATTTTATTTTTATATTAGTGTGGTATTAGAATAGAATTTTTTGCACCTCGTCAAATTTATCCAATAGCACAGTATTTCAAAGGCAGTTCAAAACGAAAAATTTTTTAAAGTTGGCAAAAAGCAAGATAGAAGAAAAAGAAAGTGTTAGTGCCCAAACTAAAGATAGTTATAATTTTATTTTTATATTAAATAAACAAAATAATAAATTAAAAATGAAAAGATATTGGCCCAAAAGAATAAAAATGTGGAGCTGATGTTTATTTTTTTAAAAATCTTCCCTCCCTATCCTCTGCCCTCTCTCTTTCGTTGTACTCACATCACTGATTTGCTTCGTGTTCTGTTGTGCCTGGACCATAACCGGGGAGTCCACGATGCTGGTAAATTTGAGTGTGTCTGGATGTTGCCTGTATTTCTTTTCATTCAGGGCATCTCCCGCCTTTTTAACTTTTTCTACTTCAAGGCTGCCGATAGGTATCCAGCCAATGCCTTTCATCCAGGTGTTATAGTCTTCCTTGTAAGCATTCTACAGCAATGGGAGAAAAGAGGAGTGAGGTCCCGGGTGGTGGTTTCTCTGATGACAGGCTCTGAACCTAAAGGGGGGCTTTCTTGTGGACTCAATGCCACTTACATCACTCCTTATGTGCATCATGTTTTTAGACAACTCCAGGTCCATGGCATCAGGCAGGTAGGTGTAGTGATGGAGAGGATGCTTATAGTTGACATTGCTGACAACATCCTGAGCTTTCTTGGCTGCCACGACATTGAACATATCATGGGGTGTATTGTATTTGGTCTTTGCCTTCTCATAGTCTTTTTTATACTCCCGGTCCGACTGCATCTTGGCCACATTCATATAATGAACTAGTTTAGGATCATCTTGGAGACTTTGGAAGCCAACCATTTTCCCTTTAGCTTTTTCATAATCCTTTTTGTAATTAACCTATTGGAAACAAAGGTGGCCATACTTTAAATGTAGTTTTGAAAATTTCACTGAACCATGAAGCTGTAATTTAAAGTAACTGAGCTTCCCAGAAATTACTGTACATTAATACCCAAACAATTAGCTATTCATGTGTATATACTTGGAAATTAGCCTGGCAAAATAAAAATGTTATCTAGAGCCCATTTGATTGTCTGTAGCTTCTTCTGCCCACCTGAGAGAGGTTGGGATGGGAGCATTTTCGTAACTCATATGACAAACCAAATCTCTACATTGTTCTTTCCACTTAGACATGGATAGAGAAAAGTGAAAAGATAAATATTTCACAATCTCTACCAATTATATTGTGCTGCTAGAGCCCCGGGCAGCTGGCTATTTGATTAGTTGCAGAATTTAAGTAGTAGTAGCAGAATTTTAATTAGTCCTTGGGTATTCAGAGGGAGACCCAGAGCCGGTAGTGGGTAAACACTAACTGGCTCTGAATAATAAGGTGAGGGTGTTGAGCTTCCATGGGGAGACCTGGAGAGGATCAGGGGAAACTGAGAAGCAGAGATGTGAGGGAAGGTTTGTGGTAAGGGGGGTGTCTGCAGGAGAGCATGCATAGAGAAGGGGGTCAGTGAGAAACTCTGGGTGGAAGGGCTTTTTAGGACAGACATTTGTTATTCAATCATCACATTTACATAGGTGCAATGGAAACCTCATTTCAAACAATCCATAAAATTGTGCTTGGGATTTTCAGGAAAACCAACAGGAAAAGGCTGTGTTCCATCTCAGGGTTGTGCAGAGAAGAGAAGTAGATTCTGGAACGGAGCCCAGGTGAGCTCAGCCACACCAAACCCGAATCCAGAGGTGGTAAGAAAGAGAGAAACCTCAGAGTGTTTGTGGAAATCCCAGGGAGGGGATTCCTGTTCATATAGGACAATTGCAGGGTGTGGGGGGTGGGTGAGATAATTTTATTTAAATCTCAAAGAGCAAAGTGACTTCATTCACATCTGGGCTAAAGTAGAGTAGGATAAGAAATAAAATTCTTAACTTTAATGGAACTTAATGACTGATTATTAGAGGCTGTGAAACTCAAGACCAACTCACCAGTCTGTAGAAGTAATAAAGGAAAAAGAGAGAAGAAAGGGAAAGAGGGAAATCACATAAATTAAGAAAGTTTTGAGATAAATTTCACCATTAGAAGGCGATTATAACTTAAATGGGAAGTCGCTTCTTTATTTCCAAACAAGAAGTAACCTGAATTTGTGCAGAAATACAGATGAGAATTTTAAATTAGGGGACTTGATTGTAGCTGATCAGTAGAAGGTTATACAAACCTTTCCCCCTCAAGAAAATTCAGATTTGTTTAGGGAACTTTCTTTTCTGCATAGTTTACAACCAGACTTGCTCCCAGTTGGGGACAGCAGACCTGGTGACTTTTGGGTAGCTGTCAGACCCCAAGTCCACCTGCCCACATTTTCTAGTTGCACACATGCATCCTCGGCTGGACTTACATCACTGGCTGCCTGCCTGGCGGCTTTGGCAGCTTTGATGGGAATCGCATCAGTTCTCAGGTCATATCCCTTCTTGCTCAAGTCTTTCAAGTCTGCTTTGTACATATTCTGAAAAAGAAATATCATTTGAATATAACTCAGAGGCCACATTAGTAAAGGCTGGACATGCACATCAGCCTCTGAGTCCCCCACACACACCTCACTGATATTGTAGGCATTCACTTTAGCCTGTAGGAACTGGGGCAGGTCTGCGGGCAGGTTGTACTTGTGAAGAATTTCCTCTCCTTTGGCTTTATAAGCAATCTGGAAGAGAAAAAAAATGCATAAACAAATAAAAATAAATAAAGTGGAGACAAATGTTTAAAGGCACAGGAAAATAACTTCAGGTGGATCATATTTCACAGAGGTGGTTTTGGGAAAGGCACTCTGTGCCGTCCCCATATTTGACTGCAAATATCTGTAGGTCTTCAGGGTCACATATGCAGTTGCACAGGGTCTTGTGCTGGTGCTGGTTGTCTTGGCAAAGATCCCTCAGTATGCACTAGGAACCTCTGGACCTAGGTAGGGGCAATCAGCCCAGGGAGGTGTCCCAATGAAAATGTTAACCTGCAAACACTTTCTTGAGCACAGGAAAGGCTAATAGGATGGAATACACCAACCACCTATATTATACTTCATGGGTGATTAAGGGACTTAGGGGTGATTTTAACTGTACATGATTTTTATCGTAGCTCTGACTTAAATCTTCCATTTGAGGTAGTGCCTATATTCATTCTTTCTGGTCTTTCCTAGAAATAGGATTGTAGTTTTTCTTGTCATTAAGAGAAATCTCTCTTGTCTTTTCCTTAGAAAGAGATGTCAAATGGCTAAATGGACAGTTGGCACAACATACGTTACTGCAAAGATATGAATTAGGTATGCTTTATTAATAACAGCTGGGGAATTATACAATTGTTCATCTAACTGAGGGTCTTTAGATTTCATAATAACTAGTACACTTGAAATACAAATATATTCTTATCAGTTAACATTTATTAAAATACAGATAGGGTTAACACTTACATCACTCCTCTGGGCCTGGTTAATTTTAGACTGTACTATAATCGGAGCATCTTCGATTGAAGTAAACTTGAGTGTGTCTGGATGTTGGCGATATTTTTTCTGTTTGTCAAATCAAAATGAGAAAAACAATCATATTTTTTTACTGAAGGTTAATATATCAAAATCTTTGAAACTTATTTTGGAGGGACAAAGTAAGATTTTTCCTAATTTTAAAATGCAAAAATACTAGATTTTTTATCGGCTTGGAGAAAAAATAAATACAATACAAAAGTCAATGTTTAAAAAAATCAGTTGAATTTTGGATGGCTCAGAACAAGACAGACCAATACAACTCTCAGGAACCAGACACACTACTCTTTTCATTTCTTGCTTATGATGTGAAAGAAGATGTTCTCAGCTAACCAGAATCAAGAAACATCGAAGAGTTTTCTAAAGGATGAACAGAAAAGCAAGCAAGGATATTTGGAATGTCTTTGCATGACACTAACAAGTTCTCAGGAATCTCATTTTTTCTGTCCCTTTATCAGCAACCGGAGTAAAGAAATTCCCTTTACTCCATTTGAGGGAGGAGGAATTGAGGAACGAGAGCAACAGCAAGGGACCATTAATAAGAGAGACAGATCTTTTGCTTTCCAGGCCTTAATGTGGTAAGTACATAGGTTATCGCTAAAGTGCTGAAGAAGCACAGGAGAGGGGACACTGGGAGGGTGTCCCAGTTGGGAGTTGGCAACTTCTAGCTACCCTTCTTTCTACACTTTTCTCTATTTATTTTCCCAGTCCTCTTCCTTTGTGCATATTATACATCCTATTTTTGCGTATATAGTAACATCACTCTTTCAACTTCAGACTTCTGAAAATGATCAACCCAGAAGGACTTTTTCTGAAACATCTTTTGAGTAGACAAAATAGTTTTTACCAAAAACAAACAGAAGCACTAAATAACAAGAAGAACAAAAACTTGAGTGTGGGAGACAACCCATCCTCAGCATCTCTGTCCTTTATATAGTCTACCCTCCTTGATGATATATTCACCTGACAAGTGTGAGAATTTTCTCCTGTTGACAGAGGATGGACAGATAACTTAGCTGCTTTACCAGCCTCAAGAGCATCACCATTTTTTTCTTAGACTGAATAATTTATATACTACTTCAAAGTCATCCAGAATATGACAGGGTATAATTCTTCAAAGAAGATTTCTATAATAGCTGCATTATTCATAATCACCAAAAATTGGAAATAATCCACATGTCCACCAACCAGTAAGAAATCATCAAAATGTGGTATGTCTATAAAAAAGGAGTACTACTCAATAAAAAGAAATGAATTACAAGCACATGCAGAAACATGGATGAACTTCAAAAACATGTGAAGTGAAAGAAGCTGGACACAAAAGAAATTTCTAGGAAAGGTAAAACTTTAGAGACAGAAAGCAGATCAGTGGATGCCTGGGGCTGAAGATGGGAGCAAGAATTTTTTTAGGAACTTTTTAGGGTGCTAGCAGCATTTAAAAATATAATTGTGTGGGCCGGCCCGGTGGCGCACTGGAGAGTGCGCCGCTTGGGAGTGCGGTGGTGCTCCCGCCGAGGGTTCGGATCCCATGTGGAGACCGGTTCCCGCTCACTGGCTGAGCGAGGTGCGGGCGCAACACCGAGGGTTGCGATCCCGTTACTGGTCAGTAAAAAAGACAAAAAGGAAAAAAAAAAAATATATATATATATATATAATTGTGGTGATGACTGCACAATGATATAAATTTATTAAGACTTTTCAATGTGTCCACTCAGGTGAATTTCATGGTATGCAAATTATATCTTGATAAGTTGTTAAAAATAATTTCCATCATGAATGGTTAACATAAATGATTTTGGTAATAAAAAGGTTTATGCTTGTCTACATGGATAATTCGTGCATGTTGTAACGTTTTTTTCCTCAGCCATAGTGACTAGAGAATAAAGCAGTAAAGGAAGCCCTTCCCATGGTTCTGAGAATTTTAACACAACACATTCACAAATCTCTCTTGGCCAAGCCCTATGGCTTTACCTCGTTAAGAATGTCTGAAGCTCGCTTGGCCTTCTCCATTTCTAAGGACCCAAAAGGCACCCAGCCACAACCTTTCATCCAGCTGTTGTAGTCAGCTTTGTATTCGACCTAAAATGCCAAGAGAAAGATTACATTTCTTTGCTCAGTGTCATCCTTATTACATAAAATCATTAATGTTTTACCCAAAACGATATTTGTAAGATTTCTGACCAGCTTTCTTACTCCATACATTAAGGTTATTTTAAACATTTCTTGGGTGAGAGATTTTAATAGCCCTTGGGTTTTTGTTTTCTTCTAACTGGTATATGTCCCATTTTCTCTTCATTTCCAAATGAATGGGAATATGTGGAACTCTAATTCCAATCTGGAAAATGCTCAATTCAAAGCTGTATTTCAAAGAATAAATAAAATTGTTAAATTTAGATAATCAAATGTGAGATGTTTGCTCCCTGGAACCCGATAAGTATTATGTTTCCGTGGCCAAATTAGGACTGAAGGCCACATCGCAGGTGAATAATTTTGCTTGTGTTCTAGTTAGATGAGACTTGGTAGTAGTTACTTGTGTTTGCACACATTGCCCTCCATGTGTACTGGTCAACTTAAAAGTGTTTCTATGTTGGCTAACAAAACACTTTAAAATAATTTGCTTAAGGGAGCGGTTATTATTTGAAATGGGTCTTATTTTGGGAACAGTTACTTTACCCTTGTTGTCTGGCCTTAGGTGGTATAGCACCTGAAACTTACATTCTAGATACAAAATTCAAATTGTTGTTTTTTTAGTGTGGGGCTTTTAACTGGAATGAAAAAATCAAGAAATCATTTGGTTCCTGCCCTTGAGAGACTTACAACCTATTTGGAATAAAGAAACATAGCAAAATTAAACAAATAAAAACATAACAATGCATACAATAGAATTGTTAGTGGTGGGAATGTAAAATTGTGCAGCCAGTATGAAAATGTGATGTCAGTTCCTCAAAAAATTAAAAATGATTGAGTGACCCAACAATTCAACTTCTGAGTGTATACCCAAAAGAATTGAAAGCAGGATCTTGAAGAGACATTCACATACCCATGGTCATAGCAGCATTATTCACAACAGATAAAAAGTGGAAGCAATATAAATGTCTACCAGCAGGTGAGCGGGTAAACAAAATGTTGTATATGAGTACAGTGAAATATTATTTAGTCTTAACAAGGAAGAAAATTCTGACACGAGCCAAAATGTGGATGAGCTTTGAGGACATTAGGCTAAATCAAATAAGCCATTCACAAAAAACCAAATACTGATTCTACATATGTGAGGTATCAAGAGTAGTCAAACTCATAGAAACAGAAAGTAAAATGCTGGTTGCCATAGGTGAGGGAAAGAAGGACACGAGAAGTTATTATTTAATGAATACAGAGTTTCAGTTCTGCAAGATGACAAAGTTCTGGAAATTGGTCACACAATGATGTGAACATTCTTAACACTACTGAACTGTTCACTTAAAAATGGTAAAGATGGTAAATTTTACATTATGTGTATTTTTACCACATTTAAAAATATATAATTGTTAGGATAAAGTATTCAATTGTGTAGCTCAGACAAATTAATTTGCCTAAAGAAGTTTGAGGGTTTTTTGGTGTTTTTTTTTTTTGTATTTTGGCAGCTGGTCGGTACAGGGATTGAATCCTAGACCTTGGTATTATCAGCACCACGCTCTAACCAACTGAGGGAACCGGCCAGCCCCAAAGAAGTTTTGATCTGCAGAAAAAAACCCAGTTATTATAATACTTAATGCTGCAAATAATTTAAGATATTTGTTTTTTAGACAAAATAGCAATCTATGTAAAAAATTATTGATAACGATGAATGTGATGATTATGGTAATGGTGATGATAATAACAGTGAATGTTTATTGAGAATTTGCCAGGGCCTGACACCACGCTAAGTATTTTGCATGCACTTAAATCCTCAAAACAATTTTTTTGTTTTATTACAATTTTACAGAGAAGGACTGTAGATTCCACAAGGTTGATGACTTTCCCAAAGGGAAACAGTGATGGAGTGCATGCCAGACCCGGGTCTCCCTGACCCTGATGGGTGTGCTCTCACAAAACCACAGAGGTATTTTCCCACTATATACTTGCTTACATACAGAGGACAATGCAGGTACCTCTGAGAAGTGCCCAAAACATTACTCAGTTTGGAATTCCTTTTCAGTTTCCACCTTCCAAATAGGGAATAGAGAAAACCTGGTTACTCACATCGCTCTGTAGCGCATAAGCCTTCTTGGCAAGGTCCACGTTGACGCTATCGGGTGGGTAGCTATAATCATGTAAGAGGTGCTTATAGTCCACGTCACTGGCAATGGCCTGAGATTTCTTAGCTTGAGTGACTTGGAGCATATCAAGAGGTGCTGTATAGATAGTTTTTGACTTTTCATAGTCTTTTCGATATTCACGCTGTGAATAGAAAATTCCCAATTATTACCACAAATCCTCAATGGATTTCCAGAAAAGCCCAGAGATCTCTCATAAACAATAAATGCAAGTTAGAGAAACAGATCCAAACACATGAGTCGTTCTTTTGCCCCCAAATTTGTTCATATGTTACACATCGCTGAAACCCCCCAGAAAATCACACATGGACAGATCTTCTCAAATTTCTTTTTGGATCAAAGAGCAACTGTCAAAGAGCTGCAGCAGATAGTGGGAACAGGCCATAGCTTCTGCTTCAATCAGGAATTATTTTATCTTAAGGCAGGGTTCCTCAAGGACCACTGACGAGTGTTACTTTTATTAGTGTAATCTAACCTTTGAAGAGTTTTCCAATGAAGAAGCATTTTTTAATTAATGAAAATCACATGACAATCATTTTATACCTCTGATTTTATAAAATGACTATTTTATAAATAGAGCTGTAGACTTAATTTCTTGGCTTTCTAGCCATTTTAAAATGGATAGTTACAAGTTTTTCTACTTTATTATTCTCTTGACAGTAGATAAGTCCCACTGAGAATCCCAAAGGTTTTTCTCATACCAAGTTTAATTCTCATAACAATTTAAGAGGAGCTTCAGATTGCAGCAGTTAGGAGAACCCAAAGGAGAAAATTTTGTAAAACTGAGCCATTAAAGTAACCTTGGCCCTTATGTACAGTGTTCTCATAAACCAAATGTCCTGGATGGGCCTCAGGAGGCAGCTTCATTGGCTGGTTTTCTGGAGTGGTTAGCCAGGTTGCTAATTAGGTCCAATTCCCAGCTTCGTCATATCCACTCACCAATTGGACCACTGACGAGTGTTACTTTTATTAGTGTAATCTAACCTTTGAAGAGTTTTCCAATGAAGAAGCATTTTTTAATTAATGAAAATCACATGACAATCATTTTATACCTCTGATTTTATAAAATGACTATTTTATAAATAGAGCTGTAGACTTAATTTCTTGGCTTTCTAGCCATTTTAAAATGGATAGTTACAAGTTTTTCTACTTTATTATTCTCTTGACAGTAGATAAGTCCCACTGAGAATCCCAAAGGTTTTTCTCATACCAAGTTTAATTCTCATAACAATTTAAGAGGAGCTTCAGATTGCAGCAGTTAGGAGAACCCAAAGGAGAAAATTTTGTAAAACTGAGCCATTAAAGTAACCTTGGCCCTTATGTACAGTGTTCTCATAAACCAAATGTCCTGGATGGGCCTCAGGAGGCAGCTTCATTGGCTGGTTTTCTGGAGTGGTTAGCCAGGTTGCTAATTAGGTCCAATTCCCAGCTTCGTCATATCCACTCACCAATTACCTTGACAGAAAAATTCTGACCCACTGCCTTTAGGAAAATTCTAAACTCACTGTATCTTTATATAATCACATACATGTTAAAGACAGTGACCCAAGTTAGCAAGTACAGATGTGCATAATAAATCTTCTGCAGCAATTAATTTCACAAATGATCTGACCTTTTAGCTTTCTTAGGGAACTTGATCTTTCTTTTTGTATTTTGTGGGTAGTCACTTTCACTGAACAAGTCTCTCACTTAATTATAAAATCTAGACCTGGTGTATGCCAATAAAATGTGGAAGCTTTCTGATGGGATGAAAGGACATTGAAAAATATAATTTGTCTTTATTAGGAATAAACTGATAAAGCAATGTTGGAACAGCAGTTGGTGTGTGGAATTGTTTTACTAAATTGTTTTAACTCTTGTTCATGTTCTCTTGTCAAAGATCCAAATAGCTTTAAAGATTCTTTTTAAAAAGCTACACATGTTCTGTACCTGCAGGTTAGCATTTTGCCTGGATATTTTGTGAGCATGACTCATTCACTATCTCTTTTGATCACCAAGATCAATCAGTGAACAGATATTGAACACTTATTATGTGCCTAGTGTTCTCATGGGTTCTGTGATGGAAGCTGGATGGGCCTCAGGAGGCAGCTTCATTGGCTGGTTTTCTGGAGTGGTTAGCCAGGTTGCTAATTAGGTCCAATTCCCAGCTTCGTCATATCCACTCACCAATTACCTTGACAGAAAAATTCTGACCCACTGCCTTTAGGAAAATTCTAAACTCACTGTATCTTTATATAATCACATACATGTTAAAGACAGTGACCCAAGTTAGCAAGTACAGATGTGCATAATAAATCTTCTGCAGCAATTAATTTCACAAATGATCTGACCTTTTAGCTTTCTTAGGGAACTTGATCTTTCTTTTTGTATTTTGTGGGTACCTTGACAGAAAAATTCTGACCCACTGCCTTTAGGAAAATTCTAAACTCACTGTATCTTTCTATAATCACATACATGTTAAAGACAGTGACCCAAGTTAGCAAGTACAGACGTGCATAATAAATCTTCTGCAGCAATTAATTTCACAAATGATCTGACCTTTTAGCTTTCTTAGGGAACTTGATCTTTCTTTTTGTATTTTGTGGTCATGGTTAAAATTAAATTAAGTGATACAAATGCCTTTCTCTTTCATCATGAGAAATTAATATTTGCAAGTTATATTGAACATTCTGATAACTCTGAAGAGATTCTCTAAATATTTTTAAAACACAGTATACACTCTAATTTGCAATAGTAGATGTTTGTCTCTCTACAGCAAAAATTTTAACTGGAAAATGATATATGGCCCATAGACAAGATTTAGGGAATCCATGAGTTCCCTGAAATTCAGGCAAAAAGTATTTTTAAAAAGTTTTTTTCTAGATAAAGGTTTCCAAATATTTTATTGGATTCTCAAAGGAGCCTATAATCAATGGAGCATTTTTCTTGGACCTAGGCTAATACTAATTACTAAAGCCAATAAAGAGCAATGATAGCTATACTAAGATTTTTTATTTGTGACTCATGTTTTCTTCCAAAAAAAGTTATTTTTCAATTAGAAGAAAATACAAAAACACATAGTGATTTTTCTAAAAGGTTTTGATAACTGCAATTGATATTCTATTAAATATTAACACAAACATTTTTCAAAGGGAAATGGACATCAAGTACAAATTAGTAATTTCTCTCTTCAAACGTGAGAGGTACAAGAATCTGGGGAATCATTCTACTTCTAAAGGTCTCCCCAGAAGTTTGTTGTGAATGTGAGAATGCGAATGTGAATATCATGGGTATAAAATCCTTTTATGGGCCACTATCCTTGGGTATGTTAATATGGAAGCCATCTTGAAAACAAGACATTTATGACACTCACGTCACTCTGGTTTTTGGCCGTCTTCAAGGAGTGCAGCATCTTGGGATCGTCATTAATGCTGAGGGCTCCAATCATTTTCCCTTTGCTCTTTTCATAGTCTTTCTTGTATATCACCTGCAAAAAACATCACACATGCCAGACCCCACTCACCAGGAAGCATCCCTGAGGCTGCCCTGTGCGGTCCCCAGGCCATACTCACGTCACTAGTGTTCTTGCTGTTGGCTTTGGCTGCCAGCAGGGGAATGGCGTCCACTTTGATGTTAAACTTCTTAGCTTTGCTCTTCTCCCAATCTTGCTTATAAGCATTCTGCATGGGAAAGTGTCAGCAAAGGAATTATAAGAACAATATTGAATAGAGAACCAATAATAGATTAATAGAGGAAAGAAAAAAAACTGATTGAGAATATGTATGTATAGACATTTCATTGATAAATACTATATTTACCAAATGGTTGTATAGCTATTAATTTACGTATCATTCAGCTTTTTTCTCCCTCCCACTAAATAAGTATAATATACTCTTTAATGTTCGTGAACTCTCTAAAGACTCTGCAATCCTGAGGTATAAAAGATAACATAAAATGACATCCACTTGTAGAAGATAAAATGTGACATTTACACAGGAGAGATATTGTAAAATTCTAGGGTTTAGCAGAGAGGTAATTGAGAGAATGCTCTGACAGTAACAGAAACTGTGGAAACTGACACCTGACAGGCTAAATAAAAATCTTAAGAGCATTTGGGCCTTAGAAGCTCCACATACACTCTGGTAACAACTTTAGTAGTTGTTTGCTTGCATAACTTTTAATCCCGTCTTTATAAATGCTTATAACATTTCGTCTTTCCATGCATACCCAACATAGGTTTCTGTGGCTTTGTACTTACATCACTCAGATTATAGGCATTGACTCTGTGTTGGATAAACTGTGGAGCATCTGCTGGTACATTGCACTTGAACTTCTCACCTTCATGTTTTGCTTTGTAATTCAACTGAAAGACAATAGAGGATATACAAACAGTTCAGAGTAGAAAATTCCTTGAACTGATGTAGGACAGTATATGTAGCTAAGGCATTTAGTGCCCTTTTTAGAAAAATACCTCAAAAAGATAATCCAGTCAAAGTCTAGCACAAGATCTGAACTCTCACTCCCTCTTTTAGGGATTGTAGTATAACCAGACTTTGGGTTGCCATACTGTAAATGCTATTATACTGTATTTATGCGATCTACACTGCTAGGCTGTGCCTGGAGGGCATGAAAACCCCAAACTCATAAAATGGTGTAATTAGAGCACTAACAAAAACAATAATTCTAAATAAAATACTGGTACAGTTAAAAAGTATGTAAATTCTTATTAAAAATATTAAGCATAGGAATTTATTTAAAATTTTTAAAAGGTGATATTAGGTGGAAGGAAAGGAGCATAAAGAAGGAATGAGGCTGTTGAATTTTGGAGCTAAAGGCAAAATGCACAAGATTGAGGACTGTGTAATAAGAATCTCTAAGACAGAAACCGTGGCCTAACTGGGCCAACAAGAAGAGCATTGGTGACTGGACACCGCGTACAGCACTGCATTCCTCTGCAGTTTGTAGAGTTCAGCTGGATCAGTGTTGTTAATGTTCAGCTGTTCTTTATTGGGACACGACACTTTTTAAATTTAATTATACATATTCATGGGGCAGAGAGTTGACCATCAGCACCCGTGTCCAAGAGGTGATGATCAGATCAATGCTATCACCATGCCCACCACCTCAAATTGCAGTTGTTCTCCATATGGGACACAAAATATTAAAATATTAGGAAAAGTTACATACGAACTGATGTGACTTTTGGGTTATACAGATGCCATTACTCTCTACTATGAGCTGCATATGAGCTCATTGGTATTACTAAAACACATTTTTTAGTAGGACAAACTGTCTTTCATTTTTCTATCTTGAGAAAAATGTGCTACTCTTTAGGACTTAGCTGTGTTAGTTAGCACTTTGCTACTCAGAGTGTGATCTACTAGTCACAGCATGAGTATCACCTACGAGCTTATTAGAAAGTCAGAATGCTGGATTCCCCCAGATCTGCTAAATCAGAATCTCCATTTAACAGAATCACCAGGTGCTCGCATGAACAGGAATGTTTGAGAAGCACTGCTGCTCTTCCCCTGATCTTGGCATGGTCAAACCATCCCTGCCTTAGACTTTCCTAGACCACCGCATTTGAAGTGCCCATCCCATCACTCTCTCTGATGTCATCTCATTTTAATTCTGTAGCATCATTCTATATTAGCTTTCTTATCATTGTTTGATTTCTTTCTTGTTAGGGTGAGCTCTTCCTTTTTATAAAGTCTTTACTAGCAAACTCAAGAATGGGAAATGCTTGCCTTGTTACCTACCCAAATGGATGCTTTTGTTGTCACTGCTTATTTAAGTTGGAATGAAGTGTTAGTGTGAATGTGACAGATTCTTAAGAATAAGCAAGATTTTCCCAATAAAAATCAGTAAATTATTAAATAAATATTCGTTATTTTTATTATTATCTAACACCATTTTCTCCAGGCTACAATTCAATCTAGCAGTTTCATTTGCATTTTATTAAACAAATCTTGAAAATGACATTATTAGGATGGTAGACAAGTCCATGAGAATTAAGCAGGTAAATGTTGACATTTTAAATAAACAAAGCACTCTGGGTCACCTACACTTGCATAAATAAGGCACTTACATCACTAAGCTGTTTTGTGTTGAGCTGGGCTTGTAATAGTACAGGAGTATCAGTGACTGCTGTGAATTTGGTCTTATCTGGATGAACTTTGTAGGTATGCTAGAAAAGAAGATGAAATTTCATGATGTATCTTTACATTCTTATTTATATACACACTAATATGTAAAAAGCTTCCATCCAAATATAGAGTTTGTTTTGTTCCTGAAAATTTGACTGATATATTCTCTCTCTCTCTCTCCCCCCCCCCCCCCCTCCCCCTCTCTCCCTCCCCCCCCCTCTCTCTCTCTCTCTCTCTCTCTCTCTCTCTCTCTCTCTCT